ATATTTAATTTCTTTAAATTATAAAGTATAAAAATTAATACTTTCTTAATTAATTTCTTAACTTTCTTAAATGCTTATTATTATTATTTTATCTAATTAAATTCTTAATTTTTTCATAATAATTCTATAATTAGTTATATTTTTTCTATATAATTCTTTAAATATCTTCTAATATATCCTATTATATCTAAAAATTACTATATTTCATTAATATTTATTAGAATAGGCTAGTCAAGTATTGCATCTTTTTTTTTAGATTAAATTTTTAATCCTTCTAATATATAAATCATTCCTAAATAATTAATAGTTATAGTATTAAATTTATATTTTTTAATTTTAAGCATCAATCTTTTATTTATAAGTACTATTATAACTAGTTATATATATTCTTTATATTCTTCTGAATTTTATAAGTATATAATAATATTATTAAAATAGATTATAACAAACTTATTTAAATATTTCTATAGAATATATATCATATATCACATAAATTATGTTAGTAAGTTTTTTAAATCTATTAATATAATTATCTATTTAAATAGTCCTTTATCTATAAAAAATACTATTTTTTAAATATTATCTTTAGCTATTTATAGGTTATAATAATCTTATTAAATATTAAAGACTATTATAATCTTTACTCTTTATAAAAGATCTCTTTTTTATTCTTAATAAAACATCTTATTTATATTATCTATTATTTTATTATTTAATGCTTATAATTAATAACTATTTATTTAGTTATATTTTTTTTATTAATAAATATTAATTATACTAATACTTTTCTATATCTTGATCATATATATATTGCTTTATAAAATTTATTAATAAATTTATTCTTAAATTCTAATTTATCTCTTAACTTATAATATTACTTAATTAAAAGTAATATAAATTTTTCTTTTAGTTTAATTTATACTTTGAATTCTTTATTATGTATTAATAATTATTATTCTTTTTTTATAAATAGTTCAATAAACTTATAATATTTCTTTAATAATTTTGCTAAAACTTTTATAAATTTCTTTTTATATAGTTCTTTTAGTTTTAATTTTATCTTTTATGTTTTTTTAGTAATTTTTATTTTATTGATTATTTATGCTTATTAAATTGTTTTAATCTCTCTTATTTTATTATTTCTAACTCTTATTTTATTTTTATTACTTAGATTTTTTTAACTATTTTATGATTTCTCTTTTTATGTTTTATTTCTATTGTTAATATATATAATATCTTTAATAAATGTCATCTTTTGTTTCTATTTATTTATCTTTTATCTTGATTTTTTAGTATCTAATAGTGTATTAAGGCTTTACTTTAATTCCTTATATAGTTATATAATTTCTTTGATCTTCTTCTTAATAATCCTTATTTATAATATTATATTATTAATTATTACTATTCTATTTATTTAATTAATTATTAGATTCTACATTTATAATTATATTATTTTAAATATAATATTATAATACTCTCTTAATACTAGTGTAATATTAAGCATAATTATTATAGTATATTATTCTAATTTTATAATAATATTTAATGTCTATTTTTTATAATTTTGACTAATTATTTCTTTATTAATTAAGATAATTGTTGCTTATTTATTTGTTTATGTGATGAGTATTTCAGCTTTATTTATAAATTTTTCTTTAATATAGTTATAGGCTACTTCTAAATCTAATAGAATTCTTATATTTTTTTTATTAATTTTTACTAGTATTATAATTATTTAACTAACTGCTTTTAGTTCTATAGTTATTATAATAAATTTTATTATAATTATATGTTTTTCTTAAAATTATTATCTTTATTTAAAAATTTTTTTATGCTGGTTATATGCTATTTATGTGACCCTTTTGCCTGGCATTCTATAGTTATAATATTATTGTGATAGAGGTATACTGGTTTTTTATAAATATATTAGTATTTTAATTACTCTTATAGATATTCTATTTTTAGTTTCAGGATAATAAATAGAATATTCAGAAATCATCCTAATATTGCTTTTAGTCTAATATAAAGTTTGTATGAGTTATTATAATATATTATCTAATGAACTTTATAATATAAGTTTCTTCTAGTAAATAGATAGTAATGATAAGAATAATTCCTTATATATCTATTTTGTCTATTGTAAAAGCATATTCCTCTTTCATATAAAATATACTTATATATTACTGCTAAAGGTAAATATATTTATCTATGTTTTTAATATATATAATATATCTATTTATTATATTTCTTATATTTCTTAATATAGTTCTTTTATTTTTATTAAAACTTTTTTTAGTAGGTTATATTAATAGATATATAACTGTATAAATTATCTCTTTGAGAGTTTATAATATCTTTCTATATTTTTATTTTTAATAGGGTTTTCTGTTTGTTCTTGGTATAGATCTTTATAGATTATTATCTTTAGTCTATTATCTTATAATATTAATTAAGTATAAAGCAACTTTTCTAAAGAGGAATTTTTTTTAATGTTTTTTATACTAGATTCTTTTTTTATTTTTTCTTTGCTAGGATGATCTTTTTTTCTAGATGATTTATAAGTATAATTTATCTAATTAGTTTGTTTTTTATAATTATGAGATTAATATCCTATTTTTATATTAGTGCTTACTTATTTCTTTTCTTATATATTTTAATATTATATTTTATTTTTGTTTAAATTATTAAGTATTCTTTTTAACTATATTAATATATTTTCTTTGTTTACTTGCTTTATCTATTCTGCTTGGATTCTTTTATAATTTATTATTTATTCTAGTTATTATTCTTTATTTTTAACTGATTATTTTAGATCTTTATTAGAATTAATCTTAGTATTAATTATTCTATTAGCTTTATTAATATTAATAGAAATTAGTAAAATCATAGTTGCAATTTGTTCTTTTAAATCTAAAATGGCTGATTTCTGGTTTTTTCTTAATTATTAATATTAATTTATAAAATAATCTAGTTTTCTATAATTAAAATAGACTTTATTTTTTCTTAATTTATCTTTTTCTTTTTTAGATAAAGTTATATTTAATTATATTATTATATCTTTATTTTTATTCTTAGTTTATTTCTAATATAAATTTACTTTATTTTTTTTAAATTTTTTTTTTCTATTTATCTAGTATAAATAGTTAAATTAATTTATAATACTACTTCTATTATTACTTAAAATATTTTTAATTATAGTATTATTATTAAGATTTAATCTTTAATATTATTTTTTAATTCTTTATAAAATTAGTTTCTAAATTTTTAATTATTTTATAAAAATCTTTCTAATATCTATAAGAATTTTAAAATATATTCTTTAATTAAGATCTATTATTTAATATATTAGATCTTATTAAAAGTTTTAATTTTCTTATTAATAATTCTTTATAGCTTATTAAGTTTCTTTTTATAATATTAATAACTAGAAAATATTATAATTATTTTAAAGTTTTTTTATTCTTTATTACTATTAGCTTAGTATTAATTAATAATATATTAAATAAACTACTTTATAGCTTTTTTATTGAGAAAACTTAATATTATTAGTACTTTATTAGATTTATTTATAATTTACTTATTATTATATATAAAGTAAAGTCATATTTAAATAAGATATATCTTAAAAATTCTATATATTTTTTTAAATAAAATTACTATTCTAATTTTAACTTTTTAAGATATATAACTTACTCTTTCTTTATTATTAATTATAGCTTTTTCTAAATTATTAATATATTTTAATAGCACTGCTATATCTCTATTATTAATAATTATAATTTTTCTACTATTAATATTAATAATTTATAAATTAAAATTTAAGATTATTAAAACTAAAATCTAAGATATTATTATTACTAATTTTTAAGACTTCTTTTTTAACTAAAGATCTTAAATTATTAGAAACTTTAGTTAGATTATTATTAAGTATAATTAGAATAGTTATTAATAAATAAAATTAATAAATTTCTAAGATTAAAAAGTCTAATAAAATAAAAGAAATAAGAATAAGACTTTTAAATATCCTAATTAATAGAAAATTATATACTTAAGTTATTATAATTAATTTAAAATAATAAAAAAAAATTAAATATAGAGTAAATAAGCATTCTTATATAACTTTTTTTTTATTATAGCTAATATATCTATTACTCTATTTACTCTATTCTTATAGATATAGTTAATATAGCTATAGCTCTATTAGCTCTGTTATTCTAACCCTAGTAATTATAGATAATCTTTTGTTCTATCATACATTAGTTTCCCTTATCCATTGGCTGTAACATTCTGATTCTCTGACAATAAGAGATATAATTTTTTACTTTAGATTTTGCTTAATTAATTCTAAAGCTTTCTATATTAATATCTCCTTCTTTTTATGTTCTTTTAATAGCATTTTAGTGGTATTTAGGGGATTTAAAATGATGGTTTAAGATTATAATTAAAAATTAACGTTTATATAAAAATAACATTTAAGTGTAGCGCACCCACAGCGCGGAAGCGGTGTGAGGTGGGCGGTGGCACGGGTATGGCAGAACGGACGTCGTACTTAGTGCTTAGTAGCATGTGAAATTAATATTGATCCAGCGTTGCAATTGGTGAACCACGACTCGTCGGACCAACACTACATGTACATATCAACTAAGCGGAGGCGATAGTACGCATATCGGGTGTATACCGGATCAAGTGAACCTTCCGATCCTATAAAAGATAGGGTCTCGATGCGTTTTGACTTGTTATCGGACTTGGTTGCCAGAAAATGTGCATTAGCGCTCGCTTCTCATTCGCCGCTTCGAGCAAAGGTCACATTTTAGTTTTTGTCACTTTTCGTCGCCTGCATGGGGCGCAATGGAACAATAAATTCGTTTAATGTTGACTCTTGTTTTAGCGGGCCTGGAAAAAAGTGAGAGAAAGATATATACATGCTTTCGATATTTCATGGGAGAGATCAAGTAGCCCGTTTTGAATACAGCAGCTATACCTAGGAAGTGCTGTTCACCATGGAAATTCCCGGAGATGGAGACTACGTTGACCTTGTTACGTTCGCTTTTTCGGGGCCAACAGATTACGATAGAAACCAGCCTCTCTATATAGACGCCGAAGATCCTTCCTGTGCTTTGACAGCGGATGAATTCAGATTTCTTGTTCGATCTCTCATCGCTGGCTTTAAAGCTTGCGGCCTTGAAAGAGGTGACTGTGTGTTGGTTCACATCCCAAATACTGTGAGTACTCTTGTCATCACTGACTTACTAGGTGAAAAAATTTCTTATCGAACCCTTTTGAAAAGATAATTTACCCTGCGCTCTTCTTAAGCATCATCGGTGCCGGTGCAATATTTGCGGGCTCCAACCCAGCCAGCCAAACTTACGAACTCGACCACTACCTAGAACTATCTAAACCAAAGTTAATTATCACCTCGCCCGAAGCTCTGCAAACTGTACTCGACGCCTCTTCGACTAAAGAAATAAATCCAGGCCAAGTTTTGGTACTAGACACTCCCGTCATCAGACGCATGGTGCAAAGCCTTCCTCGCGATTGGGCACGCTTTACATTGGAGACTAGACGAAGAGATGCAAGCACTCCGCTTAGTCTGCCAGAACTTCTCAGCCATGGGGAGTCGGAATGGCTTAAGTTTGAGAGCGGCACCAATTTGTCCAAAACGACGCCGGTAGCGATGTACTTGACAAGCGGCACGACCGGTCTCCCTAAAGCTGCCGTCCACTCGCATCACTCAACGATTGCAGCGCATCTCTGCGTGCAGTTCACCGTTCCTTATAAATCTGTTCGATTGCTGTGTCTACCATTGTTTTACCGTTTCGGCGCACACTGGCAAATACACCCTATTCGGTATGGAGAGCCGATGTATGTATTGCCAAGATTCGACCCTATCCTGTTCACTGAGGCGGTTCGCCGAAATCATATAACTGAAACCTACGTTGTACCAACTATGATACATATCCTTAATCGGGATGCTGTTTCGCCAGTCCACCAGTTAGACGGAGTTGGTTCCTTACCATCAATGCGCCACGTCGGAGTTGCTGGCGCAGCGATAGATGCAGCGTCCATAAAGCGATTCCAGAATTTCCTGGGCCCGCAGGCCGCAGTATGGCAAATCTGGGGTATGACTGAAACTGGCGCTGCATTCACCAATCGCTTTGGCGAGGGAAAATATCCTGACAGCATTGGAAAATTGACTCAACTGTATGAAGCGCGATTGATAAATCTTGACAACAAAGATGTAATTCATCAAGACGACAGCCCTGGTGAACTGGAGGTGCGGGGTCCAGGTACTGTTCTAGAATATCGATACCCAACACAGCAGCCACAAGAGGGAAGCATCAAGGATGGCCAGGGCTGGTTTAAAACGGGCGATATCGCGTATGTGAAAGACGGATATTATTTCATGGTTGGCAGGACAAAGGAGATGATTAAAGTATATGGGTATGTAATCAAAGTTCTCGCAGCTGCTATAGAATCTAATCAATCACCATACTTAGTTACCATGTTGCACCCGCCGAGATTGAATCCGTGTTATTGAAGCATTCTGGAATCGAGGATGCTGCTGTTATCGGCGTTCCGCTAGAGGGGAGCAACACCGAAGTTCCTCGTGCATTCGTCGTTAGATCAGACAATGCTAATGAAAAGCCTATTTTGACAGCCGAGGAGGTTGATATATTTGTTCGCAAACATCTGGTTAGCTACAAGGCGCTAGATGGGGGCGTGATATTTGTTAGCAAAATCCCACGAACCGTAACTGGGAAGATATTTCGACGGAAATTGACTGATATGAATGCCTATCGAGATAGGTTATCTTCGTTCCTAGGGAAGCGGAATGGCAGTTCATAACTTGTATTATAGTAAATCTTAAGCTCATTCATAAAATTGTGACAGTGGATTATGACCACTATTTCGAATACAATATTTAATCCACCATGTCACGCGCCTTGATCTACCTTAGTTGTCACTGGCTGTGTTAAGATATAATATATTAGGTGAACTATAGAGAGATTCTTAAGAGTAATTCTTATTAGTAGTTAAATATAGAATAATTATATATAATTATATATATTATATTTTTTGTCACGGGCTAGACCCGGTGGTAGAGCTACTATGAGCTGTGTACGTACAAAAAGAATTTAATGAAGAAAGATGTCAGAAGAATCAGAAGGTCACAGCCAATCGATAAGTACTATTCACGGAACGGAATATGCACTATGCTGCAGATATTAGGATGAATTAGCAAGCAGCTGTCATTATAATAAGCCAAGGCTATTATAATAGAACTATATCAAAGAGGGACTAGTGGCTATATGTATAATATACCTATTATAGCAATAATATAATAGGAAGTATATGTCAGAGAATCAGAACGTCACAGCCAATGGATAAGGAACGCTAATGCGTGGGAATAAAGGATTATCTGAGAATATTATGCAAGAGGCTAAGACATATCAGGATTAAAGCTATTATAGCTGTCAGAGTCAATTATTAGTATCTAGCTATACTAGATATAATTAGACTTATTAGAGTTAAGTATATAGAGATAATTATAATAACTATAATAAAGAAAAGTTATATAAAAATACTTATTTATCCTATTCTAAGTGATTTGTAAGTACTGCTTATCTAATTAGTTTATTTTTTATAACTATAAGATTAATGTCTTATTCTTATATTAATATTTACTTATTTTATTTATTTAATACTTCTTTTAAGATTAAATTATTCTTGCTTTTCTTCTTATACACTTTAATATTATATCTTATTTTTATTTAAATTATCAAGTATTTTTTTAATTATATTAGTATATTTTTTTTGTCTACTTACCTTATCTATTCTACTTAAATTCTTTTATAATTTATTATCTATTCTAATTATTATTCTTTATTTTTAAAAATTATCTTAAATTTTTATTAGAATTGATTTTATTATTAATTATTTTATTAACTTTATTAGTATTAACTAAAATTAGTAAAATTATAGTTATAATATGCTTTTTTAAATCTAAAATGGTTAGATTCTAGTTTTTTTTTAGCTTTTAGTATTTATCTATAAAATAATCTAGTTTTTTATAATTAAAATAAGCTTTATCTTTTCTTAACTTATTTTTTTTTTTAAAAAAAGATTATATTTAGTTATATAATTATATTTTTATTATAGTCTTTTAGTAAATTTTATTAAATTATTTAATTTATTCTAAACTGCAGAAATCCTTTTTTTTTATTATTAAAACTCTTATTTCTTTTATTTAATTTTAAATAATTTATTATTAATCTTAATTATTATTTCAATAAAGTTATTAATATTTTTTAATTAATCTATCTTAATTAATTTTATCTAAATTTCTTCTTTTAATATAATTTTAAATATAGTAATTTATATTTTATTATTATATCTTAATAATACTATTATCTTTTAAAACTCTATTATTAATTTTTAAGCTGATTTAATTTATTATAAGTATCTTAATTTTTATTTAGTAGTATATATTTTATTAATATTTTTAAATAACTATATAAATTATTCTTTAAAGTTAGTATGACTTATAAATATCTTAATAATAATTATATTCTAGTCTTCCTATACTGAATTATAAAAATTATTTATTGTTGATTATATCTAGTTAGCTATATTATTAGTGAGGTAAGTTATAATAAAAATTATTTTATTATTATCTTTAATTTCTCTACTAAGAATAAGGATTTTATTATAAAACTTGAACTACTAATTCTATGTACCAAACCCTATAAGCCTGTAAAATTTTAGACTCAGGGACGCGCTTTTATAAAGAAAAAGATAGCTATAAGATAGAATCCTAAATAGAGTTAAGAATAGCTTTAAAGTATAGCAGGTATATGATCTTGCCTAGCTTCCTGCCACTAATTAGACTAGTGGCTTAGCACACACCGTCTTATAACTGCGGGTGGCCTCAGGCCTTCATGAAGCAGCGATTAGCTGCTGAGCATACGTGTATATACGTTATATATATTCGAATCTATTCCTAGGCCGAAGCCGAATCCCAGCTACGTCCTTGCAACCCCCGTCACATTTAGATTAAATTAATTATTAGTTCTAGTAATCTACTAAGATATTATATTTAGCAAGCTATATTCTACCTAGTATTATATTATACATTCTAATATTAAGGATTAGAAATAGTATTTTAATATAATATCTTTTATTAATAACTAACATTAACTTAAATATATAAAAGATTCTGTTTTATCTCTTCTTATTATATTCTTTTACCCTTACTAACTCTTTTAAAGGTATTATTTTAAGATTAAAAAATCTTACTAGCAATATAATTAACTAAATATTAATAAATACTAATTTATTTACTCTAGTATTAATTAATACTTTAATAAATATTAAATGTATTCTTTAAATAAGTTATATAAATATAGTAAAATTTTCTTTATTAGATTCTATTAACTATTTAATATCTAATTTATATAAATTAGTATAAATTTTATCTAAAATAGAGATTTTTTTTAGATATTATTATTTTTTAAATTAGAATCTTCTTCCTAGATAGTAGTCTACTTATTTTTATTTATTATCTTAAATTGCCTAGTAATATTATTCTTAAGTTAATTATTTTTAAAAAGATAATTATTAGCTTAGTATTCTTAGATCTTATAATAATAATATCTTTTTTTTTTAAAGAGTTTAATATATTCTTTTTTACTTAAGTAGTTATATTATGTTTTCTTATTATTATTATTAAAGCTACTACTAATATTAGTATTAGATTAGTTGTATGATATTCCTATAGTTTAATTTTCTCTATTATTATATAAATAAATATACTTCTTAATTTCTTAAATCTGCTCTAAGCAATTAGCTATTTAAATATATTAAATTATAAATTTAGAGTAAAAGATATTATTATTATTTATCTTTTTAATTATTAATTTTATTAACTTAGAGTTTAGCTTATTATATAACTTATCCTTCTATTATATATATAGGATCTTTAATTCTTAGATGTAATATATAAATATTAATAGAAAGATCTAAAATTAGTTACTTAACTTTATAATTAGATAATAAAATATAGTCTTTATATTAATAATTTAATTTATATTATAATAGATAGTCTTAAAATATTTAAAAATATCTTTAATATTCTTATATAATTTAGCAGTATTATTTTAGAATTAGAAAAAAATATAGTTTACTACTTTTTTATAGTATATATATTATATATATATTATATAAGTTAAGAAGTCTAAATAATAATTAATATTAGTCTTTAGTTTGTCTTTAACTCTAATAAGCTAGAATTTAAAGAAGAAATTTTTTTTATTAGTTAAGGCTAATTTATTAGGAAGTTTAATAATCTTTTTATTATTATTTTTAGTGATAGAAGAAGGTTTTTTAAAGCTTAATTTAATAAATTAGTATTATAAGAGATTTTGTTTTTTTATTAATTCTTTTATTATTTTATATTAATTTATAATAATCTTTTTATAAATATCTTATTGTTTTTTTAATATATTAATTTAATATAGATTCTTATACTGTTCTTATATTAATTAACTAAATAATATAACTAGATTCTTATTTATATGCTTTTTAAATATCTTATATTTAATATTCTAAGATTTTTATTCTTTATTATCTTTTATTTCTAAAGAAAGATATAATAAATAGTATTTATTTAATTTTTTTAATACTAGCTTAAGCAATTAAACAATTTTAATTTTTAAGTCTAAAATCTGGATCTTAGTTTAAGAATAATAAGATAAGAAAAAAAGTAATTTTAAATTAAATATATTAAATTATCTAAAGTTAGGATATTAATTTATTTATAGATTTATAAAAATTAATATTAGTAAATAAATAAAAATTTAGTTTAATATAATAATATAATATTAAATCTATTTAGTTATTAAATATAAAGAGATTAAATTAGAGAAAAGAAGAAAAGAAAAAAATAATTATTAGTCTTTTTTTTTCTACTTATACTTCCTTCTATTCTAGATATCTATAAACTATCTCTGTTGTATGCTAGTGCCTAGTAATCTAGATTTTTAGAAGATTTTAATAATATAGAATACTAACTAGTAAAGGCTATTTATTCTTCTTGATATTATATAGATCTTTTAGTAATCTATAGTATGAATTAAAATATGGGGTAATCTCTATAAGGTATATCTAGCCCTATATCTTCCCTGCATGTGATTTGTTTATGGGAGGTGGCCCGCGGGTACTTCTGCAGTAACCGCGTGCTGCCAAGCCAAATCGTACTAGGCCGTCACAATTAAATATAATTTAACTAGATATATTAAGATATGCATTAGGAATTATTTTAAAATAACTAAAAAATAATAGAAAATTAAGACCCATCACTTTTTACTCTAGATAATTTATTATTATAGAAAGGAACTATAATATTTATAATAAAGAATTACTTATAATAGTCAAAATATTTAAATAATAAAGATACTTCTTACAAGAAGTTAAAAAAAAATAATTATAAAAAGTGATTATTATAATCTAAAATACTTTATAATAATTAAAAAGCTTACTAGCAGATAAATTAAATAATTAAAGTACCTATTAAGATTTAAATTTCAAATTAAACATATCAAAGAAAAAGAAAATATTATTACTAATATATTAAATAGAAAAGTAAATTATATAAATAGAATATAATAGCCATAAACAAATATACTAGTAGAAGATAAAGATGAAATTTACTATAATAATAAGATAATACTAGTAATAACAGTTATAATAGAAAGCAAAGGCTTTTATAAAAAAATAATAAAAGCTACTAGAAATAATAAAATATTGCAGACAACATTATATAATAATAAAATAATAATTAAGAACAGAATAGCCATTTAAAAAAGATTAATATTAATACTATTTTTAATAATTATAGAAGTTATTTAAATAAATTATAATTTACTAATCAAAAGACATCACAGAATTAACTAAATAGTAGAAAAGATATAATAAATATATTATTTCCTGAGAATAAGAAAATTAATTAAAGATTATATTAAAAAATATAATAATTACAATTATAATAAATTAATTAACTATTAACTATATAGAAGAATATAGATTTTAGAAATACTTATAAAAGTATAATAGAAGATTATAATAGATTTTATATAAAGCTTATTGAGTTGAAAGATTTTATTTTAGGAATTATATACATTAAAGTTATTATTATTATAGATAAGTTTATAAAATATATTATCCTAAAACTAATATTAAAGAGTTTAACAGCATAATAATACATAATATTAATATTATAAAAAATATTTATAATATTCAGATTATTAAGCAAAATTATATTTAATCAAATAAACTATTTATATCTAAATTTTAACAGATAATTATGAAAAACTATAAAATAGAATATAACTTATTAATAATATATTATCAATAAACTAATAATTAGACTAAAAAAATGATTTAAGCAGTTAAATAATATCTAAGATATTACTTAGATTAGAATCAAGATAATTAGATAGAATTACTACTATTTACTTAGTTTGCGATAAATAATATAATAAATATATTAATCAGACAAGTACCACATTTCATTAATCTAGAAAAAATTCTAAGAATAAGTTAAAAAAACATTAAATAAAAAGAAATATTAAATAAAGTAAATATCTAAGTAATATATATACAATTAATGCATAATAATTTATTAAAAAACATTAAATAAGTAGAAATAAGAATAAAAAGATATTATAATAAAAAGCACAAGAACATAGTAATATAAAAAAAAAAAAGAAAATTTACCTTTTATAACAAATACTAAGATTAAAAAATTTTAATATTAAAAATATAAGATTAAGTAATAAATTTAATATAGTTAAATTTAGGCTATTTATTATCAAAGAAAAATTTACAAATAATAATTATAAATTCTAGTTATTAATAAGAATATAAATATACCTAATATCTTATATTTTATTATTAGAACTAATTATTAATCTAATAAATAAAGATAAAGTAACAGACAATAAAAAATATAAAGTTAAAAGAATACTATAATATAAATTAGAAAAAGAATAGATCTATTATCTTATAAAATAAAAGGGATATAGACCTAAAAAAAATATATAGGAATCTATTAGATATTTAAATTACTCTAAGAAGATTTAGAAATAAAGATAGAAATATAATTGAGAAAGATAGAAAAATTAAAGTTAATATTAAAAATAAGATTATTATTTTATAAAGTAAATATAACAGCAAGAAATTTTTTAGCTTTTTATTATTCTTTTACTTATTTTATTTTTACCTCTTTTTCTATTTTTTCTAATCTTTCTAGCTCTTTAATATCTTTAATATTAAACTCAATAAATTAACTAATATACTTCTATAATAATTTCTATTATTTATTAAGATGAGCATATTTTATTAGAAAAACTTTAATTTTAATATTTATTTTATTACTATCTTCTTCTAAATACTTTTAAATATAAAGAAATTTCTTTTATATAAGATTAAAAGAAGCTATTAAAATACACTTATAATAATTATTTTTTATATATTTACTATAGCGCAATAATATTTTTAATTTTATATAAATTTTAATTAAAGAAAAGTAATAAAAATAAAATAAAAATAGCTCTACACTAGACTACTTAATATATAATATAAAATTATTTTTATTAATATTTTACTTTAAAGATATGATTAGTATAAAATCATAAGATTATATATTATAAAAGAAAAAATTAAGAGTAAAATTAGTTTCTAATATATCTAAGAGATATAAGCTATTTATTAAGCTATTAAGACACTAGCCTTTAATGAAAAGAATTATTAGAGAATTAAAATATTATAATCAATAAATATAGAAAACTAATATATAATAAAATAAAGAATTATCTATAATTATTAAAATTAGAGTAATAGAGTCAATAGAGTTATAGCTATATTGATTATATCTATAAAAATAAAGTGAATAGAATAATAACTATATTAGCTATAATAAAGAAAAATTATAAAAGGATGCTTATTTATTTTATATTTAATTTTCTTTTATTATCTTAAATTAACTATAATAACTTAAGTATATAATCTTCTATCAATTAGAATATTTAGAAGTTTTATTCTTATTTCTTTTATCTAATTAAACCTTTCAACCTTAGAAGCCTATTAACTTCAACCGTTAATAGCTATCCTAGCTATACTCGACGGTAATCCAACCGAAGTTTCCGACATATCTAAGGAAGTTGAATTTCCTAATCCTTATCTAGAATATACTTAGCTAGGTATTCATCTACCTTTAAAAACTATAGTTAAGTAGAGGGTTAATTAATATATATATTTTAAAGCTATTCCAGTCAAAATTGATATTTATGTGAAAATGACTATAAGTGTAGCGCACCCACAGCGCGGAGCGGTGTGGCACGGGTAAGCCCTAATTACTCCTCACACCCGTAGTGCTTATACTACGTAGTAGATTTGATATATTGGCTGATCGCCAGTACACATCAACTGGCAACTAATACAATCTTTCTACATATATACGTATATCTATATGGGTGTATAAGTAGATCAGAATGACTGCCATAATCGGTTTTGGCTGCCGCTTTGCTGGCTCGTCCACTTCGCCTTCACGCCTGTGGGAGCTACTGCAGCATCCTCGCGATATTGCGTCTACCGTACCTCCAGACCGCTTCAACGCCGATGCGTTCTACCACCCCGATAGCGCGCATATAGGTACCACGAACACCAGGGAGGCCTACTTCATCGACGGCGACGTCCGCGCCTTCGATGCCGCCTTCTTCAACATCTCACCGAACGAGGCCCGCGCCATGGACCCCCAGCATCGCCTCCTGCTGGAGACTGTGTACGACTCCCTCGATGCTGCTGGACTACGCATCAACAGCCTGGCCGGCTCTGATACCGCCATTTTCTGCGGCTCGATGAGCGAGGACTATTCAGCGATCATCAATCTAGACCCGGATACTATGCCGCAGTACAAGGCTCTTGGAACTGGCAACTCCATGATGGCCAACCGGATCTCCTACTTCTTTGACTGGAACGGGCCCTCAGTCGTCGTCGATACCGCGTGCTCATCTAGCTTAGTGGCATTGCAGATGGCTGCTGACGCGCTGCAAAAAGGCCAATGTTCACTGGCAGTCGCCGCTGCCAGCAATCTGATCCTATCGCCACACACGTTTGTGGCAGCCTCGACGTTACAGATGCTCTCTCCAACCGGTCGCTGTCATATGTGGGACTCGCAGGCAGACGGATTTGCAAGAGGGGAAGGGATAGCGTCGATAGTACTGAAACGCCTGCCAGATGCCATCCGTGATGGCGATCCTATTGAATGCGTTGTGCGCTCTATTGGAATCAACTCCGATGGCCGTGGCAAAGGCTTGAGTATACCAAATAGCCTTGCTCAGGAGAAACTAATTCTATCCACCTATCTTAGTGCCGGTTTGGATCCAAGCCGCCCCGAGGATCGCTGCCAGTTCTTTGAGGCACATGGAACTGGTACGCAGGCCGGTGACGCAGAAGAGGCCTCTGCCATTTACAACGCCTTTTTTCAAAATTCCTCTTCAACGGTAGAAGAGGACCCAGAAAACTTTATCTATGTGGGATCTATCAAAACTATCATTGGCCATACAGAGGCGACTGCTGGACTAGCCAGTGTCATCAAATCTTCACTATGTTTACAACATGGCCTCATTGTTCCTAACTTACATTTCCACCAGATCAACACAAATATCTCCTCATATTTGTCGCGGCTTCGAGTGCCCACAAAAACGCTACCATGGCCCAAACTTGCTCTTGGCGTTCCTCGAAGAATTTCCGTAAATTCCTTCGGGCTTGGGGGGACGAACGCTCATGTTATTCTGGAAAGTTTCGATTCTAACCAACACTCCGATAATGTTTGTTCTCCTATCTTGCAACATGTGCCACTACCAGCACTTCCATTTATCTTCTCTGCTCGGTCCGAACAGTCTCTAGTTGCAGTATTGAAACAATATCACCAGTACATTCAGCAGAATCGGCATGTCAGCCTAGTTGATTTAGCAGCGACTCTGTTCATGTGCAAATCTAAACTTAAGCATCGAGCCATTATCTCTGCCTTCTCAACTGAAGATCTGCTGAACAAGATTTCAGCGAGGTTAGACTCACCTGAGACTGATCTTGTAGACTTGACTATACAACCGGGTCCTAGAAAACCTAGATGTGCTGTAGGTATCTTTACCGGCCAAGGAGCACAATGGCCACAGATGGGACTTAATCTACTTTCTTCCATCCCAGATGCTTATATAGTACTTCAAAAGCTACAAGACTCTCTAAACCAGTTACCCTTACAGTATCGCCCGACATTCTCTATGATTGATGAGCTATCCGCCCCCGAATCGTCATCGAGAGTACACGAGGCGGCTATTTCACTCAGCATACGCACTGCGCTACAAATAATTCAGGTTGACATTTTGCGTGCTGTGGGCATATCGTTAGATGTCGTAATTGGCCACTCCTCTGGCGAAATCCCGGCTGCCTACGCCGCTGGCATTCTCACATCCTCAGACGCTATTCGGATAGCCTATCTACGAGGACACATCATCTCCAAGCATCAATCTGTAGGAGGCATGGTTGCGGTCGATCTCTCATGGGATCAAGCCAATGCAATTTGTTCAGATCCCGCCTTTTTGGGGAAAATCAATATCGGAGCATATAATTCACCGTCGAATGTTACTCTTTCTGGTGACTCGGACGCAATTGATGAGCTGAATTGGTTACTACAAAGTCTCAATCAAAACCCTCGTGTTCTGAGGGTCGATACTGCCTATCATTCACACCATATGTTATTATCCGCCGAACCGTATCTTCGTGCTTTGGAGGAATGCAATATCCATATCAATCACTCATCGTCGATAGCGTGGTATTCCAGCGTATTTGGCGGCGACAAGATCGACGTTTCTCTTCAATCAATTTTCTTGAAAGGAGAATATTGGATGGAAAACATGCTTCGTCCGGTCATGTTCTGTCAAGCTGTAGCTTCTGCCTTCAAAGCAAACCCTCATATCGATGTTGTCCTCGAGGTCGGCCCCAATCCAACGCTGAAAATTCCTTCAGTGGAAATTATATCCTCTGTCTTACAAAGCGACGTTCAAATTCCATATATCGGTTTAGCGGAACGGAATGAAAGCAGCACTCAATCTTTTGCTAGGGCCATTGGTTTGTACGCGGCACTCTCAGACACGGAAGCTATAGATATCAAAAGCTATATAGCTCTCTTCAAGGAACAAATCCAACCCAATTTTCTTAAAGGTCTTCCGTTATATCCGTTTGATCACACACAGTCATACTCAGTGGAGTCTAGAATGGTAAATGCCTATCTGCACCGTAATTTACCACCAAATTCCCTTCTAGGAAATCTCACTTCAGACTCTCATCGTGGCGAGTGGCGTTGGCGCAATCACATCAACACCGAGGATCTGGCTTGGCTTGAGGGCCATCGTGTTCAATCGAACATCGTGTTTCCTGCAGCTGGATATATCTCGATGGTAGTCGAGGCAATAGAAATAATATACGGAAGAGATCGAAGCTTGCACTCGATTGAAATTGACGATTTCGCCATAGATCGTGCAATTATCGTCCCCGTCGACAGAGTAAAAGGGGTTGAGACATTATTTCGAATAGCAGCCCAGGACTCTACAGATCACGTCGTACATGGCAACTTTAGCTGCGTTGCCAGCTTCGGGGGAATACTAAAGCCATGCGTCTCCGGCCGAGTTATTATTGAATTCGGAGAGTTAAGGCCAGATCTTTTGCCACGAAAAGATGATGGTGAGGACGAAATGAGACCAGTAAACACAGAGGAATTTTATGATTATCAGAATGACTTCGGATTGGAATACTCGGGGCCTTTTCGATCGATTACGTACCTTGAAAGAAAAAAAGACGTCGCTTGTGGCTTCGTCTCAAACTGCGTGGATGAGCAGTTACATATTCATCCCGCGACTCTGGACGCCGCATTACATAGTCTTCTCGCCGCTGCCAGTTCTCCCGGTGATGGACAGCAGCATACATTGAATATTCCGGTTGGAATTTCTCGGATAACCTTGAACCCTACTCTTTGGGGACCTATAAGGGAAGAAAAGTTTATATTTCAAGCTTTTATCACAGAACTGGGCCCCACAAAATTAAGAGGGGACGTTCATTTGTTCGATACACAGGGTCAGGGATTGCTATCTGTAGAGGATATCATTCTGCATCCAATCGTGGAGACCACACCAACCGATAATGATATGATTTTCTCGACTATTGTTTGGGGTCCCTTAAAGCCTACATCATGTTTGCTTGACCGATCGCAAGCTAGGCTGAACATCGACTGGGAAATACTGGAAAGCAGAGCTCTCTCGTACATTCGAGATATCAACACGAAACTAGACCAACATCTGGAGTTCCAGGGGTCTCAAGTTCACACTTTGATGAAGGGTATATTGATGCAGAATTGCGAGCTACCTTGCGTATGTTTTGATGGCAAGTTAGATGACACAGCTAACTCTCCACACACCGAACATACCAACAGTGACACGCGTGTGGAGCTTGAAATTATCGACGAAATTGGAAACAATTTGCTATCCCATGTTCTTAATGATGACGACGCCATTCAGCAAAAGTCGCAAAGCCACACTATGGTTAGAAGTCTCTATTGCAAAAGTGAATATTTCATATCTTTGATTGATGAACTGGCGGGGCTAGTCAAGCAGATTGTATTTCGGTTTCCATCTTTGAGAATTCTGGAACTCGGTGCCGGATCTGAATGTTTTGCAGGACATGTGATTAAAAAGATCAATGGTTCGTATTACTCTTACACTTACACTGCTCTTTCGGACGCTTTTTTTCACGATGTCCAATCAACCCTGCGCGAGGAAAAAGGCCGTGTCTTCTATAAAGTTCTGGATGTTGAAAGTGACCTTGTAGACCAAGACTATGGGCATTATTTCTACGATTTGGTAATCGACACTCGAGGCTCTTTCCAAAAGGCGAAAAATCGGAAGCAGGCTTTAAAAGGAATCAGAAACTTGCTTAAGCCTGGGGGCTATTTTGTCGGACTGCAGGTTAGCAAGCTTGATAGTATCTGGGCTTTGCTTATGTCTTGTGCGTGTGGAGAATTTTCGTTGTCGAGTGCCCAACATGGTGAAGATCATTTTGACGATGCAGTCATGGGCAGTGATGAGTGGGAAAGGGCAGCCATAGATGCAGGATTTGATACTTTTGGAAGCACCGAATCTTCCCATGGAAGAAATTCCGGGCCGATGCATACCATTCTCTGGAGGGCTTCAGATGAGCATCTTCGGTTGCTAGAAAATTCGTTGTCTTCAGGCCGGATAGAGGACAATGATTTGATTGTGGTGGGAGGCACAACGACTCAGATATACCCCGTTGTCCTGTCTTTGATACAAAAATTGCGACCATATTTTCTGCGCATCATTCATGCCGCTGACATTGAGTCGTTGAAAATACAAAATGGGGTCACAGCGAATTTTATATTGCTTATTGATGTGGAAGAACCTATTTTCCAGAGTTTTACGAACGACAAGCTCGTCCGATTTCAGCAAATCATGACGGTTGCTAGAACACTTTTGTGGGTAGCACCAAACCACGATTCCGAAAACCCATACTTGGGCATGAGCAAAGGCTTTTTTCGGTCTTTGGTTTTTGAATACCCCTTATCAAGGATTCAATACCTTCAGATACAACGCCTGGAATATGTTACTACATCCTCAATATTCGACATACTGATGCGCTTAGTACGTACTAACATTCAAAACGAGTATAAATTGCCTCAAGGTGTAGATAATCATGAGTTGGAACTTATGTTGGATAGCAAAGGCGTCATTATGATCCCTCGTCTGCAAAGGAGCAATCCGCCAAACCAGCGATATTTAGCAAGTCGTTATGTCCTTGACGATAGTCAAGTGAGCTTGCGTGACTCTATTGTGGATGTCATTGTCTCCAATACAGTGAGAGATAATGTGCCTCAGTTTCAACTACTTCATACAAACCATTGGCAGACCAAGTATGAAGCCACACAATCATCCAACTACATCGAAGCGGATTATTCAACTTTGCAAGCATTGCCGGTCGATGGGGGTGGCTTTTTGCATCTGATGATTGGCCAAGATGCAGAAAAAAACACAGTTGCTGCGTTTTGCAGTCAACACGCTTCGCTTGTGGGATCTAAAGAACTGTGGAGTCAGAAGAAACTCGAATTTGACTTCTCCACCATATCAAAACCCATGTTCATAGAAGTGGTTGCACAAGCACTGTTGGCTTTCAATATCATAAGCAAAACAAACCCCGGGATGACCATTTTGGTCCACGAGCCAAAGATTGTTGGGACTGAATTTCAAAGAATCCTCTCTATTATAGGGGAAGAAAAAGGAATCCACGTCTATTTCAGTGTCAGCGAACAAGTAGAAGCTGAAAATACGGCTCATACTATATTCATTCATGCAAAGAGCTCGCTCCGCCAGCTTTCTAAGCAATTACCAACAGATATTGCCTTGATCATACAGCTTAGTGACCGTCATTCTACTCTTCTCTCTCGGATTAAGTCACTTTTGCCGCTCGAAGTGATACATTTAAAATCAACAGATATCTGCCGCTCCACTTCAGCTCTTTCGAATGACATGAACATGCCGCTGCTTGAAAGATTACTAAATTCCGCTATCGAATTTGCGAAGTCGTACAGATCCACGTCCAAAAGTACTGATATTACAAACATTCAATATCTACCTAATATGTCATTCTCTGATTTGTCCAAACTCGAAATCTTGGATTGGACCGATGCAGCCGCCGTGCCAGTACGGACTCGCCAAGCGAGTTCGTTAATTAGATTATCGGCACATAAAACCTACCTGCTTGTTGGAATGACAGGTGATTTAGGAAAGTCTTTAGCTGAGTGGATGATCTGTCGTGGGGCAAGGAACATTGTGCTTGCTAGTCGATCGCCCAAGCGTAGCTCACGATGGACTCGTAAGATGACTGCGCTAGGCGCACGAGTAGTCTTCATGCAAATGTGAGTTTTCTCAAGATTGTTACTTTTCACACTTGAAAACAAACGCTGATTGAGCTTCTTAAAGGGATGTGAGTGACAGGGAGTCTGTATTATGTGTTCACAATATACTTGAGCAGCTGCTTCCTCCAGTTGGTGGCGTCGTGAATGGAGCAATGATCCTCAGAGATAATCTGTTCAGCAATCTTACCCTTGAAAGTATGCAAGACGTTTGGCGTCCCAAAGTGCAGGGAAGCATCATCCTCAGCGACCTCTATCGTGACCCAGACCTCGAATTCTTCATTCTCATCGGATCCATGGCAGGCCCAGTAGGCAATCCAAGCCAGACTGCTTATGGTGCTGCAGCCGAATTCATGGCCAGTCTTATTCGTCAGCGACGTGAAATTTTCAACCTCCCCGGCAGTGTTATCCATCCCGGAGCGATCATTGGGCTGGGCTACCTGGGACATACTGGTCAGCAAGTCAAACGAGCGCTGATTAACAGGTGGGGCCCATCACATCTGTCGGAACGCGACTTCCATGAGCTGTTTGCAGAGGGTATTCTCGCCGGAAAAATAGACTCTGCATGTAGTCCAGAAGTAATCGCAGGTCTTAGACGGATTCATCCTAAATATTACCCTGACGCGTTGTGTTATGCCGTACCAAAGATGTGGCCTTTCATCGTCTATAGCGCTGAATCCACGGCAATTGAAGACACAATGTCGTCAAATAGCACTTTGACGTCGGTGAAAGCGCAGTTGCAACATGCTAGCAGCCAAGATCGAATCTTGGGCACAATAACAAGGAGTATAATAAACAAGCTTCTCCGCAAGCTCGGCTTGAATGCAGAAAAACACCAACTTTCGGGACGAACATACTTGACCGAACTGGGAGCTGACTCTCTAGTTGCACTCGACCTTCGGAGGTGGTTCCATAAGGAACTGGGTGTTGATATTTCAATTTTGGAGATTTTAAGTGGTGTTTCAATCGGCGATCTGGTGCAGAGTGCTGCTTCAAAACTGGCAACAGGATAGAAAAAGATATTAGAAGGCCTAACCAAGCCGAAAGATTTCCTTAGTTAGGGTTATTTAGGGGTCTATCATGGTTCATCAGAGGCATGGACACTTGGGGCAGGCTGAAAATGAAAATGGATCATTCCAGTCGACTATTTTGAATTCGTGTACTGGCTCTTATGATCTCAAATATTTGATTGAAATTCCCATTATACCGGAAAGATTTGTACTTGTTCCTTCTATAACAATGTTAATGACAGACATGTAGTTTGAAGCCCATGTATAACCAAAAGGTCTACCAGCAAGCCCTAGAAGAAAGAACTATACACAGTCCAGAAAGTTCCAAATCTATCACAGAATTATTATCAGAATTCATGAATCTTGGTTCGGTGACTTCAATGCCAAGCTCGATATAAAGTAGTAGGCTAACTACATAGAGAAGGTCGTGTCTGAACTGTCTGGGCGGAATGTCCCAATATTTTGTATCAAGGGCTTCTTTCTTCGTTGTTTTAATGACAAAAACTATTTATGCTTGCTGCAGTAGCTAAACTTACCTCGTATCTTCTCTAGGCTGGGCTTACACGTTGACCAGATCAGTGACAGAGTAAGTAATGATCTTTCTATGCCTCCCCAATCTTGTCCTCATCAATGCTGGCACAAATGATGTAGCATAGCACTACTCTATCTAAGCCGAATCCGGTGACGGATTATATTAAATCTGATACTATACACACCTGGGTCTGAGCCCTACTTTGGAGATTCTAACAACTCTATCAAGTTCTTGGCAATGCATCGTAACACCAGTGGGGGGAGGCCTCGAGAACGAGACGGTTACGTAGGAACGTGGTAAAACCATCACTCTCTAGGTTAATTGCTGTTTGGGCTAATTATATCTTGATATATGAATAGTAGTAATAGTCTCAGCTACCCTTTATGGTACTAGTTCATGATTTGGGTTACGATTGCCCTGTGGTAGAAAAACAGTGCGTGGTGGAAGGAATCTAGAAGATCTACACCAAGAGTTTCTTTTAGCATAGCAGTGATGGAACTATCTTTCTAAGGTATTTCCTTCTACACACGCTTTATTCAGATGTTATGATGAAGGATATTAAAATGTAGCTAGGGCTACTGACGCTAGAATTAAGATTGGCAGATAAGGGTTAGATTAGATTAGAGGCTCCTTAAAATGCGTTTAAGAATATAACTAATAGGTATAATCTATGGAATACTGAGCTAAAAGTCTCGGCCTAACTTTCCTATATTCCTATTATTGCGCACTAGTTTTCTATACCAGGCAATTGCAAGCCCTATTACATGATCGAAGCTGATCCGACCAGCATCGTGCCCAATCTGCCCCTCACTCACGGATTCTTTCGCGACGTCTCCCTGGTCGCTGTGATTCACAGCGGCCGGAGCACTATTGGCTGGATGTCTGTAAAAATATACAATCGTCGAGCCGAGCGAGCCGATCCCCGAGTCGATCAGAGCACGACGTCCACCGTGCAAGATAAGAATGGGCCTATGGCCAAGGAAAATGGTTAGGTTGGTAATGTTAGAGTGTCAGCCGCAGCACTAAAATAGAGCAGAATGAAACATCAGTGAGACTTGGCAAGTAGTATAACTCAATCTACCTTGGTTTATAGCCAACATGCTGACGCCCAGCTTTTAAACCTATATCTTTTGGCCCCCGAAGGATCGTTGAACTACCCACCATCTAACCATAGTTTAATCTATGGTTGTATTTAGGATCATTCATCCATGCATGAAGGTACAATGGTGGACTCGGGAGTGTGAAGAAGTCTAATTAACAGCAATGAGTTACATTGACCTGTCTTCTGCTGACTTCAATGCTTACGTAAAGACGAAGTATATAAAGTCTGCCATGTACCTCAAACCCTTGAGTGCTATTGAACAAACAAAAGAAAAATCATTCAACTCCTCTATACAATCCCATTTCTTAACTCGCAATGAAGTTCACCGTCCTCGTCGTCGCCGTAACGGCCCTCTTCGCCTCCTCTGCTGTTGCAGTGTGCAAAATTGGCAGCAGTGATAACTGCGCTGATGGATTCCGTTGGGTATGAGCCTCATGTCTATTCAATGCCAGATGTACCAGTAACCAAGGCTGACTGCGGATAGTGTGACTCCTGCAACTGCTGTGTTGTGTGCGATGCGCCATGCTAAACGTTTTGATGTTATCATTACATCCTTTTCCAAGATGAAATGGTGGGTGCATATGTGTGATAGCCTTCGGATTCTTTGTTAAGTCAGTACTTAGGATAAAGAGGCGAAGATATTCTAAGAAGAAGCCGGGTGATGGAATCTATTGGTAGAACTATATATACAGGCGATGATGATTGATGTACATAAAAAATGAGGGCGACGTCAGGAGACTGGTAAACTTCTCCCGATCTACTGTATCCTACACTCGTTGATTGATTGACCAAAAGCCATCTACTTGATAACTCTTGTTTATGCCAATGTATAATGGAAACATCGTATATCACCACATCATATTAGACTACGTAGATTGACTACGGCTATCCTCAAGCATCATGTTCAACACTCTTCATCCGGTAACCTCGGTTTCCCTTGTACCCTACTATCCCGAGACACGAGACAGTCCACTACTACGTCGCCGGCCCAAATTTTACTCCCATAACCTAGATAGCCGTGACGGTAGCATCCATCGTATTCGAGACAATACTAACGCCCCACAAAGACGACATGCCCACAACTGCAGGACAACGAAAGCGGGAATCGCAGACAGGGCAAACCCACATCCAGTCCAACGCTGAAGGCATAGTTGTATTTAGTCTACAAGCTGCGCCACCGGTGTCTAATCCAATCTTTGAAGACGAAGCTAACAGTGCTCAAGGCCAGATATTTGAGCGGTGTGGCCCGGGGAATTAGGGCACATCTGCCAATGTCTACATATACTATGTCGAGAAAATGTAACTGGTGGGCAGCTAACGTACGTCAGAAATCGAACCCGACGCCCAGTTCATGACGGGAATTTGCGTAATATACGCCCAAAGAGTGGCATTCAACTGCCTAGCAAACGTCACTCGTGTAGGAACATTCACATAATATCTCACTTTCGTATGCTAGTAGAAAAGGAGGCCCTCACAGCATGGTGATATTTCCATAGGTTTTGAACAACATCATGGCCATTGGACACCCGGGTTCCATGTAACCAATAATGAAATCCGTGAATACATTCAGGCCAGTCTGGCTACCGGTGGTCACTAGTCTGTCTTCTTTGGGACAGAGATAGAGCTCTTTAAGCCAGGCTGACGTGCTTAGGAAACCCGGGCTAGGCTGAAACAGGAAGGAATAGAAAGATAGACCAAAACAACGCCAAGCCACCGCGATGATTGATTGATCGCTAACTGTGAGACAATGTAACCAATACACGACAAGGCCATGTGTTTCGATAAGGGTCTGACGCGGCGGTTCAATGAGCGATCGCATGAGTTTTTACTCATGCGGCTTACATTCGTGATGACGATCATAGCTGCTGAAATACCCCGCATCCTAGAAGCAAAACCTACATATATAAATTACTATTCAGGGAAGACCAACGCACAACAATTCTCTGTTTAATTATCGACTACTAATGCTAACTTCCTAAAGCGTGATCGATGCACATTCACAGTTGGCGTTATCAAACTTTCGCTTCTGCTACCGCCGCATTTCGTACTTAGGGTTTTCGTACTTAGTCGTGTCCCACCGGGATTTTGGCGAATATCGTGTTCGGGATGATTGACCTCTGGATGCTGACCTTTTCCATCACTGGTTCTCTCCACGGACGCTTTATATTAGAATTAAACAGCATTCGAGTCGGTCAGCAAGCAGGTTGCATAGCTATTTCATCTCCGAAGCTATCACGACATTGCTCTCGACTTAAATCTACTTGTATGTCGACCTGATTGTGTATCGAACGTTCAGATCTCTGCCTAAAATGTTTTCCCCCCCCCACCCCGTTTTGGCACCTTTGGCCTAGGATATCTGTAAGCTTTTGCTTGCCTGCCTTGGATGGCTCCTCTCGTGTCCTTTCCTTTTCAGCTAGCTTATTTCAAAGATTGTGAGGAGAAAAGAATGCTGTGCTCTACATCTACTTACCCATTACCGAATCAAGCCGCGTCATCACATCTGCCATTCGAGATCATATGTGACAAAGTATATCACTGTTTCGATACGGGTCACTCCTAACCAATCCGAAGATATGTATGAAGAATTTCAAAATGAGAAGTACAAACAGAGAGAAGAATAGATACCGTGACAAGCATGGCCACTTACTGAGCCATGCTCACCCACCATTTGTGTTTGCTTACCATGTCAGGGTCTGTTTTTCATAACCGGTCACAGCCCATCGTCATCAGTCAAAAGTATTCTAGCTAGGCTTTTTGTACGAGGCGATTCAAGTCCACGGTACCAAGCCAATAGGGATCTATCGTATGATGCGCAATAACTTCAAATCGAATACTCCGTAGGCAATTGACCAGCTTTATTAGAATGATAGTTACTCTCAAGATGATATTTATCACTCAAAGACAAATACGATGCTAGATCTCTAGAGCCAAGGTGCTGTGGTCCTATCTAATGATTGAACAGATGTCCTTGGTCTGTTACATCCCTGTTACATTAGTCCTAAGGTATCACTCCGAAAGCACCTGCAAAGTTCTCAATTTTTGATTCTCTTTCAGCACTTAATCACTAGGCTTAACGCACACCATGTACTTGCTTGCTTTCCTCCACTACGTATAACAACAGGCGGAACTGATTCCCACATTCGACATGGTGACATACTTAGGTAATTAAACGCTATCTCCAACAACATCGAGCATTCTGTCTTGCAGTAGTCTACTGCGAGCAAGGAATGTGTCCTTTCCTCCGTCTAATCCAGAAACACAAATCTATCAGTCTATTTGATTCAACAACCCCCCTCGACCACCAAAAAAATGACAAAGAAGAAGAAAAGAAAACAAATCAAACGACCGTTATCATTAGTCATCGCCAAATCCACTTCCATCTAGCCCAACCAGACCCCTTTTATTTCCTGCCCAGTCGCTCCTCTCGAGCATGACGCCAGCCAGGGCCCCATTTTGAGACTACCCACGTAAGCGGGGTCAATGCCAGTGTGATGCCAGCAAGTAGAATGAATGCATACTCTGCTGTCAAGGCATCTATCATCGGTTGCACGACAGCGACCCCGACAGCACCCATTAGGCATCGCATGAGGTTGTTTACCGCAGTGGCGCTTGCACTGGCTCCCGGATACAGATCAATGAGCAGGGCGCTGTTTATAGTGAAAATCCCAGTAGAGCAGAAGGCTATGAAGTACTGCAGGATAATAGGAACGGCCAGGTTGGTACGAAGCGACACACCAAAGAGTGCGGTGCACACCACAAACAACGCAATCACCCACCATGTGTTGCGGTTACGGGCGAGCTCGATGGGGAAATCGGCGTGGGACTTCGGGGTGACACGGGTGCCAGATGGGTATCCACGTTTCTGGCAGTATTCACGTTCCGTCTTGCGGTAGTTGTAATCCATTAGATAGCCGACACTGTAGGATCCAGACATGCAACCAAAACCTACAGACGCAAAGTTAGTTGGGCTTCGGCTTCACAAGAGAGCGGTATGGCATACCATTGCCCAGGAAGGTAAGCCCGACCTGCAAAGTTGATAGATTGTACACCTCTTGAAACAAAGATGTTGTGCTTGAAGTCACCATGCTCCAAACAGTGTAGACAATACTTCCAAAGAATAGGGTGAGGAATACATCCTTCTCTCCTAGGAAGGTAAAAGGGGCGAGAACGGCCTTGAACGACACCTTGGTCTTACACAATCCCGATGTTGAACCCTCCTCGACGTCCTTCTGTGGGAAGACATGGTATATCCATGGCTTATATAAGCCATTGAGGGGAACGCTCCCATTTCCAGCGATGGGTCTCAGAGTTTCGGGGAGGAAGGTCAGGATAGAAAGCAGGCTCACACCTGCAGTGATAGTGAGGAACCAGAAGATGGAATGGTACCCTAAGTATTGGGACAAAATACCACCAAAGACCGGTCCGATGCCTTGACCAAGCATGCGAACTAATGGGTCAGTATACTAGATGAATTAAGATTGATTTTGCAAGCCTTACCTCCTCCAAATATCCCGACCAAACTTCCTCTTTCAGCAGAGGTGGTAATATCACCAATAACGCCCGCCCCTAGGAGCCATGGATTAGCTCATAAATTCCAGATGTAGTCTGTACATGAGCACTTACCAATCGAGATGGTTGCGGCACTACCGGCAGCTTGAAGGGCTCTGAACACCATAAGCTCTGGATAGTTAGTGGACACGGCCAAAGCAATGTTGGCGATAATATACACCACGAATGTTCCGATGAAAACTGGTCGTCGACCAGTAGCATCAGATATTGAGCCCCAGAAGGAGGGAGCGAGCCCTTGAACGATCATATATACCGTAATGGTGAGGCTGATAAGGGACATGCTCGTATTAAGGGACTTTACAACTTAGTTATACTGCACTCATCATTTCTCTTCACGGCGTCTGGCTTACCATTGAAATGTCTCCCATGGCAGGGAAGTAAATGTTGGAGGACAAGGGAGAAAATATGGCTGCTAACGAGACGATGCATACCATCTGAAGCTTCTTGGATCTATCAAAGACATGGTGTGGTGGTGGTGGCGGCTGTTCACCCTCGAGTTGGATAGACTCGGGAGGGCTGTTATGCTCCGAACTTGAGAGAGTTATGACAGTCGTCTTAGGGGTCTTTGTCTTGGAGGCATCCATGGTTCAAGCGACTCATCTGAAAATAACGATAAATGCTTTGAGATGATAATGAAAGAAGAGTTTGATGTTCCCTGATGTACAAGTTCAATCAAGAATTGTATTTGAGTCTGCTCGAGGACGAGAGTCAAGAGACAACTGGACAGCCTTCCTCTCTTGGCTTTTTGTATGCTGAATTTGTGCATGCTGCTCCAAGGAGTTGTCTTTACAGCAGGCCAACAAGATATAGAGGCTGCTCCACTATAGTTTGATCCATTTAAAAAAAAAAATAAAAGAAAAAAAATGAACAACCTTCCTATCTCAGGTAAACCCCCCCCTGTCTGGCTGCGTCACAGGAATACTACCCAAGAAACGTGGGCATTCATGCAATGACCTTGGCGTGCTGGTACTACAGGCCAGGAGGTAGCAGGTTTGGCCTTAGCTAATGATTGGCATACGGTTGAATTGCCTTTGTCTGGCTTCTTTTGGGGAATGAAAAAGCGAAAACCGTGATCCTGATTCATAATCGATACGCGTCTACCCCTTTGCCACTCATCCCTAGGAAAATACTCTATAACAAGGTGCAGTATTCGACTATCAATTCCAAATTCAAAATAAAACACCGAAAAGGAGAACGACGTATGTCCAGGTTGGGAATATCCTCAACATCGGGCACCACCAAGAGACTGGATAATGACTCCGCCACCCCCCCCCCCCCCTCCCAGTGTTGTCAGAAAACTAGAACATGGTGATCGCCAGATAGTGAGCACGGCTGATCTGCAGGGCGACTTTGCACAAAAGTTCTAGTGCTAACTTTTCCAGCTTGTGCTCATCAGCACAGGCCCTCGGTTAGCATTGACAAAAGACAGATTGAGCAAGACGCGTCAGTGCCACTATCAACTACATGTAAATGCTTGGTTGAGCAGCGCATGCTTCTCGATCGGCATGAAACATGTGGGGCCTGGGATTACATGTGACAAGTCGTCAAGCAGGATAGACTCGCTATTGATCTTCTTCGTCAGCATCATCATTCTTGAGAGTATACCTACCGAACCCTAGCATACCCCTTCTTATCAATGTCCAGATGATCATCTACCAGGATCCCGTATATCAATCAGTCATATTCCCACTTTTTTTCTCCGTATGCATAAATAGTGCGACTCGGCACCGGACTTTTCGAAGATGTCGACACCCTACCAGTCCTGGGTTCGTAACAGAAATAAGATATATGCTACAGATCACGGTGATAAGTTAGCTGCGAAAGTTTCAATTGAACTTTTCAGAACCTAGTTGCATTACCTTTGATACGAAAACCAAGACTCCAAAGTAGACAATGCCAAGATTTCTATACATTCTGTGACTTTTTGGTGTTATTATCAAGAGAAGGTGTCGCCATCATTTGCAAAAACAAGTGCCAAGGGTCACTAGTTACATATGCGTACGGACTGATCGTCACTCTGCTCCGTTGAGGCGCCGCCCTGCGCACCGAGTTATTTCCCGGGGGAGAGAGAAAGAAAAAAAACTATTCTTCTCTAAAAATGACGAATTTGTGTGTCAAACGGAGCATTCAGGGGAATGATCCAGTTGCAAGGACCACGAGGGATCACCTCCGTATTGTGCGTCTGTCAAATATGTCATAGTAAGAGAGTATCACGGAGTAACTCGGGGCGATTTCTAGGGATGGCCGGCCCGAAAGGTTCGGCTACCCGATATATCACGCATAGCCCCGACTGGCCAGGACACATCCTTGTTGATCTACCATTGGCCTGGGCTTGGCCAGTCTGATGAATGACATTTAGGGGTTCCTCATTGGTAAAACGTGGACAACGACCCTGGTGGTTTATGCAGTAATCCGTACGAGACATGATATATAATCAAAAGTTTGAATATTATAATTGAGATGACAAGGCTTTCATCCTGCATATCACCGGTCCCCACTCCTCTCTTAGGCCCAAAAGTCGTCAGAGACTGTTAAATTTCTTGCGTCCCCGTTTCCAGTTGCAAAATATTTATGTGCAATGAAAATGCGCCTAGAAGCTAGTACTGGTAACGTCCGAGGTGAAGGCTGTTTCTTGGGTTACATGTCAGCCAGCATTGTACTTGTCTGTGGTATATTAATTTTGGAAATTTTAGTGTTTCCACAATGAGTATGCATGCATTACGCTCAAAAAATTAGGGCCTTTGACGAATTACAAGCGAGTCATTGATGGTACTGCCGTAAAACATTTCATGGACCGAGAGAAAGCCAAACTAAGTAATAAAAAAAGAAATAGAGATGCAACGGATCCATTACATGACGAGAAGGATGCCAGAGGATTGATTGCAATCGAGATCTCTCTAGAACGAAGCCACATCTATGGCATTAGTCGTCTGTGCTATAAATATGATACTCACTTCACTCCATCCTCTAAGCCACCAGTGTTCTAATCAGGATCAGGGGCCGCAACACAGTATTGAGCGAGTATGAGGAGAGCCAGCGGGCGTCTTGCCGGCACACGCATAAGAAACCCCGGTGGAATCCATGTCACCCAGCGCAACACCAAGTGACCGGGGTATGAAAATGGAGTTATTCCCATAAGGAAAATGCACATTCTTTGTTTCGAGCCTTGCACTGTCCACAGCCATGCCGAGACTTCATATGGCGTTTCGTAACCTGGTCATCGTGGATCACAATATTTCAAATTCAATGGCTGTCCTTGCAAATGAGTGGAGGGCTGAACGGAAAACACTAAGACATCATGTGTTTGATATAGGCGTAAAAACATGAACTTGTTAGGGAAAAGAACAGTAACTTGAAATCTGTTTAAGCCTAAATTCGCATTGCATACCAGAATACGAGGTTCGTATGCCGTCCAACCTGATCATACCTAGGTACCCTGCCGAATCAGATAAGCTCTAGTTTACATATATGATTGAAGAAAATATGTTTGTCCAACCAAGAGGGGGTGTTCTTAATGAGGCATAGTTTACGCCTGTGGCTGTGAAACGATAGCCTGGCATCCTATAGACTCATAGAGTCGTGAGTTGACTATACCATGTTTGGGAATGAATGCATGGTTAGTCTTCTGAGCAAAATCGACTTAGGCTTCTATATTTAGTCGTTCAGCCTGGCAGTAAGGCTTACGTTTGAAAACTACATTGTTTTTCCTCTCCTCTTTCCTTCAACTGGTTGCCTGTGGGAAGAACAATCATTGTGATCAATGTGATTTGAGTCCTAGATTAGATGCAATGACTCTGCCGTATGAATGTATTTCACATATAAACTGCAAGCGTCAACTCACATCCAGATTATATGTACAGATTTTGTTTTAATATCTCGTTAATCTACATATAGAACATATTCGTAGCAAGAACATGCAATATAATTCAGCGAGAATAACTAAAAAAATTGTGTATATCACAGTATCCCCTAACTACGATCTTCCGAAAATAAAATTAGGGTATTAACTATTAAAAAGCAACTACTATACGAACTTTGGGACCAACATCTCTATTTATTATTGCGATACAGGTGCGTAAAAATGCCATTCCTATGTATCATGCATTGCGCTGCTTACGCGTGATATATGTTTCTCTCAAAGGAAACAACCCCGAGTCGCTAGCTCACTGGGCACCGGCTTCCGTCCAGGGTTTAGATCATTAGAAACTAATGGCCATGAGGATACTCCACGATCAGTGCTAAGTGAGGGCGAGTGACAAACAACTCCTCGATGTTTTGTCCTGGTAGACCAGACAGAACTCCAAGCGAGTTTCAACAGCATCTTCCACCAATGAATCAGCAGTTGGTAATACGGCTTATTGGCTGAAGAGCACCCGTTGATTATTAATTACTACATACGCTTATCTCCCGGTTTCGTTGCATGGACAAGACATTTAGGTACTATGCACAGTTATAAACCGTCATTGGCCGTTGCTGGCTCGTCGATAAGCCCCAATATATGTCACCCCACGGATCACGGCACGCATGGAGTACTCATCTAAACGATCCGAACCATTATACAATCGATGGTAGAATTGGGCAAGCTTGGGTTTCCATCATCATAAATAGAGTGCGACGACCACGAGTATCTAGACGATTCCTCGCTTTAACGCTATATTGTACTTGGGGATATAGCTATATCAGTTGATCAAGGGAGTGACAACCATGCCCGGGCTTGCGAATGAAACCGCCTTCCACCTCATCACCGTCAAAGAACTGCATCCTACGTTTGGTGCAGAGATCAACGGCGTGGATTTTTCGAAAGCGGTCGAGAATGATGTGTTCCAAGAGATTCTGGTCGCCATTCGTAAGGTTTGTGGATGTTTTCCTTCAGTCGCCTCCTCCTCTTGTTTGCACCTATCGCGCCCTAAAAATTCAATGGCAATTTTCTCAATAGTATGGAATCTGTGTCTTCAGAGACACTCAACTCGACGATAACCTCCATGTTCAGTTCGCTGCCAAGTTCGGCGAGCTCGATGATGTGACACCATACTTAGCTGGCGGCCGACCCCATCGACTTACAAGTCCGCAGCTGTTCGATGTGGGCAATATTGATCTGGACGGGTCTGTATTTGTACTTGACCATATGCGGCAGGCGTTCAATAAGGTATGTTGTTTGTTTGTTTCAAAACGCTTCGGTGGATCTCGAGCCCACTGAACGTGCTGTAATAGGGCAACGGCCTGTTCCACGTCGACTCCAGCTTCAACCCCCGTCGAGCAGGGTATTCCCTCCTCCGTGCTCACGAACTCCCACCAAAGGGCATGGGAGGAAACACCGATTTCGCCGATACGCGCGCAGCCTTTGACGACCTAGACAGAGAACTGAAGCGGGAACTGCTTGCAAACGACTACGTAGCTGCCCACTCGCTTTGGCACTCACGCAAGCTCGCGTCGCCGGAAGCTCTGAAGGATGTCGATCCAACTGCTTACCCGTTTAGCCGACACAAACTCGTACAGATGCATGAGCCATCAGGGCGGATGAACCTATATATTGCCGCACACGTGCATCATATTGAGGGACTGGAGGAGGGGAAGTCAAAAGAGCTGTTTGACAAGTTGTACAAGCATGCACAGCAGCCTAAGTACGTGCTGAGCGTAGAGTGGGAACATAACGGGGATCTCATCCTGTGGGACAATACTTCGGTGATGCATCGAGCTGCGGGAGGCATTTTCGAGGGGAAATATAAGCGCGACATGCGTAGGGCGACGGTGCATGATGCGAGTTCTACTGCGTGGGGACTAAATGAGAGAACTGATGTCAGACAGGGGCTCCCGTAGGTGTATTCATTATTTGACAAGGCGCAATATTGGTTGAGCCGTCTGGCTCATTGCATATATTAGGTATTGACTATATGCAAATATACTTTTTATAGTCGTTTTGCACAAACACCTAAACATGAATCCTCAACGTGATGCTTAAGCTTAGACCCGCGGCCTAATAAACTTTGTAACAACTCCTAGGGATATTTTTTCCCACCTAATGCGCAGGACCGGAGAGATGCCTACTTTTCTCGACTGAGCAGAATCGGAAGCATTTCGAAATGACTGAGACGCGGGCAGTATTCACCACGCATACGTGTTGCCCAGAGATTGTTCGAATTCAATTGTATTATAGGGAATGGAGGAATCAGTTGTCCATGACCAAGTCAGCTTCGGGCCGAGTCATACGGCAATCGCTATGGTCTCGGCTCTGCTGCGTACTTCCATGAGCACCATGAGAAAATGGATAATTATATTCCTCTGAAAGCTTTACGCAAAGGAATCTGGACACCTTGTAGTTCACCAATCGGTGAATCGACCCCTGAACCTGGAAAACAGCTGGCCGGGACTACACCTATTAGCAAAACTGAAACACTTTTGGGGTTACTCACGGCCAACTATTTCATCCCTATTTGTCCGGGCCCGGGGTCCCTTGCTTTCGAACATGATTCACCCTCCAGTTTCTTATATTGAATGGAACAGATTATTGTTTCTTCCCTGGGTCCTATCATTTTATATTTTCAATCTTAATTGAATTCGCATTAATCCTTATCATAGCATGCGATTAAATGATGAATATACCTAAGTAGTCCTTTCGTATGCGTTTGCCGAATTAAAATTTCAGAGCTTTTTTTGATAGGCAAGACAGAATACTGAGTGGAACTATGAAATAGCTTCACCTATTGTATACATATAATCTTTATTCCTCTTATAAAAGCGTGCTTGTCTTATTACAAGTGCACCTGAGAGCTAATAACCGCTTTAGATTAAGTGTTATTGTTAAGCCTTCAAAACTAGAGTATTGTTCAATCATTCATAATTACAGTAAAATCTGTATAACTGCCTTGTAGCATGCCCTTTCGACTAGTTCCACGAATCAATCAAACATCTCCATGAAGGATTCATGAATTAGCGCCACAAACTGGGGATCATACAGAGAGAGATGAATTCCTGCACCTTCACAGGCCACTTTTACACTCGTAAGTGGAAGGAGGAATTTCTTTGGGCTGTGCTAATCCCTTCGAAGGAGGAAATGGCATAGTTTGGATTGCGCTCGGTTCAGCCAGCGTGACAAAGAATGGTTGAATTTCTACCTTCTTCAGACATGGAAACCTTATTTGAAAAAGCATCTCTTGTAAATTTTCAATAACCACGGGGAAATATTTGTCTCTGCAGTTCGCAAGAGTGAGACTTTCCAAAGAACTAGGCAGGCTATCCTTCAACGAGAGTGAAACAGAAGAGTCGAAATCCAATAAGTTGCGTAGTCTAATGCGCAGCTCTTTGAGATTATTGAATGCTGCTAATGATCCAAGGCAACTATGGTGCAGCTTAAGTCCATCGTTGAACCCGGAAGGTATGTATTCCCCCTTGTCATTCAGGTGAAGAACCTCAAGACTGTGCTTTTGAGTGAGAAGGGGTTTATAAAGGGCTGGGGCACGAAAATCAATATAACTTTGACCCCAAACTGCTAGGTTGGAATGCTGGTATTCAAAGCGTTTCAGATTGGCACATGACGTGATAAAATCGCTGAAGCCGTTGCTGCCGTTGCAGTCCCTGCTAGCTTTGATCTCTTCAATTGGCGACGTTCCCATGGCAGGTCGCTGGGCAGGGTGGTTATCAGGATCAGACCAGTGGTCTTCAACGACTGATTCCAGGGATATTTTGCGCATTTCAGGAAAGTGAAAAAAGGGCAGAGATTCGAAGTAAACAGTATAGTCTTTTAACTCTGCGCTGTAGATAAGGACGTCCTCCAGTCGCTGTAATGAACCGGGACAACTGTCGAATGGTTTCTCGCAGAGTGCCGCGCGAGAAAGCATTCGTCTGAAATATTTAGTACTCCGGGGAGGAGATGCATTTAGTTCTCTAACGTTCCTCAGGGAAAGAATGATCAATCCTAGCCAGGCATCTTCGTTTCCTTCTCTGAGGTCTTTTTCCCATTCTTCAGCTTCTTCTGGAGAGTGGCTTGCCTGTTGCACGACATTTTTGAAGAGCGCAGGCTCGTAGATGTTGCTGTCTTCTGGTGATTGGTCGCAGCTCCAGCCGTCGAGGCCGAGGTGTCGAATCGCAGGGCCTATTTTAGGATTGAGTTGCATGGAGCGAGCAAAAGAAGCCCCTTGATAGCCCCGGATTGAAATCGAGCTGTAAGCCCTAATAAAGGATAAACTATGCCAGTGTCTGCATACCAGAAGAAGCTGGAGATAGTTCTATTTATCATAGATGCCGAGATGGTCACCTATGAGGAGAAGAATCTCGTCAGGAATATGAACATTCCAGCGAGTCATCATCGCTGGGACGGTGGACAGAGAACTAGTTAATCATAAAGACTCGCGGATGAATTTGCTTGCTGATTTGATTTTCTGCGGATTTTCTTCCTTTGTCACCAAAAGCACGCTAGTACAAATACAGACACTTTGAGCCTGAGGCATACCTAGGGAGATGTCTTCAACATTTGCTAACCCTATGATTTAGGTCGACTTAAGTGGGTTTTCGACCTGTCTATGCCAGGTCTTGCTTCTGCCCCATGATACAAGTGCTACGAGTTACCACCATCATCCCAGGAATAGCGATTGGACCATCAAAGCTGAATTCCACACTGCTTTGTAGAAAATGCACTTTGTCTACTATACAGTACGTCTAATAATATATCAACTGTGATCGATCATGTGCTGTCCTCCAGTGGATCGGGAACATGTGTATATATATCAAAGCTTTTAGCCTCATGCTCCAGTGCCCATTCCCTAATGGCCTCAAAGTCGCGGCAAGTATGCAGCGTCGTAAGAAGGCCTCTAGCGCTCTGCGAGTCTTCGACCCACTTCCAGGTGATGGGCGAAATGTCCGAGGAACACATGAAGCTCTGCCGCATGGAGTCAATGCAGTGGTCGAGATGGTCCATGTCCATCAAGGTCTCGTTGACGCCGAGATAATACTCCGGTCCCTCTCCAGCCCAGAGCTTGAGTCGAATCATGTTCTGAATGGTTCGTCAGCGAATTGTCAATTATGCACTGTGTATACACACGTTGATGGGTACTACCGACCAAACAGTGAAGCTGATGGAATACGTCGAGTTGTATAACGTATTCCCCTGGGTAGTCGGGAATGGGTACGGTTTTATTCACCAGTTTAGCCGCTTCGCTCATTGGAATCCTACTAACGCCAACTGTTTTGTCAATACCAATCACTTCAGTTATACTTACGTGCCAACAGGAACCTACAGCTGTAAAGATCCTCCCAGGCTGCCAAGTTTTCTGGGGTTGGAGGCCCCTGGTACTTAGTCAAATGTGGGCTGATGCTAGTTGTGAAGGCGAGATTCTTGTATCGAATTGCGTTCTCAGCAGGTGCTTAAACAGATGTCAGAGAAATATTTGAGACAACAATAGTACCGAGAGTCAAGACTGACAGTAAACATGATCTGGTAGTGTTCCATCTTTACTCTTATACGGACAACCCGCTTGCACTGCTTGGCCTTTCCAAAGCATACCCACGACTGCCATGAGTAGTAAAATCAAGAGAATCCATTGAGCCACAATCAGTCGCTGCTGCTTTCGATGACTCAATCGCAGGTTTGAGATGGTTATAGGCTCTTCTCCAGACTCGCCTTCGAGAAACCCTTCTTCCTCGGGCTTCTGCGCAATGCGCTGGTAGCTCTCTGAAGACATTATGCTAGACAGGAGAAAGAAAATCTGAATAATGACGAATCCATTCTGCGGGAAAGGAAATATTATTCTACCAATCCTCGACTAAATGTATGCAGGCGTGAGTAAACTCAACACTAACTTCTAAGCCACCATGTGACGACTATCCTTATTCAGAATATGTCCAGTTGCTGGGCCGGAGTGGAGATCCTCTGGGTCATATTGGTGACATCGTGCCAACATCGTTAATTGCTATCAGCACTATTAACACGCTCTGCCGATGACAACATCGTGAGCTCCAGTTAGATAGGCGTCCACTTTTAGCGAAGCAATGATCAGGAAAGAGCATCGCGTCGCGCGTTTATTCAAGGATTACATTGAATGCTTAGAGAACGTGGATATTCAAGCAACCAACCACCCGAGGCTTCTGCGGGCATCATGTTGTTAATTTTATAAGCCTGAAGATGAATAGTTTGGAACGTGCAGAGATGTGTCTAATTCTTCGGTGCAAATTGTGATCTGGCGCGATGTCACCTACCCACCTAGGTATCCACTATCTCAATTATCATGATAAGCCGAAGCCCACCACCATATAGATTATCCCGCCTTGGTAGGTAGGTAGGTATTTGGTATGTTGGTTGGTTGGCAATGCTTTTTCTAGGGCATTTTGCCAAAAGCTGGTCAAGGGAATTCTAAGTAATGGTCGAAATAAGATATAAATACTGGCTCCGTGTCCGGAAACCCAATTCAACCTTAACCCCAACAAATCAGTCTTATTCTCCCTCTTCATTCAGACCATCTTCAATCATATTACTGCATCATGAAGTTTACCGTCACCGCTGCCTTTCTCTTGGCCGGGTCATCGCTCGCTGTCCCGCTTACTGTTGTAAGTACTATTCATCCTACAGTTTTAGAAGTTGGCATGCTGAACGCGGTCATAAGAAGCGTGATGTCGACCTCGTGGACGTGAACGCCCCTGGCGGCTGGGTGTACAAGCGTGACGCTGAGAAACGTGATGTTGACCTTGTCGATGTGGACGCCCCTGGCGGCTGGGTGTACAAGCGT